ATGAATGAATGAATGAATGAATGAATGAATGAATGAATGAATGAATGAATGAATGAACGAATGAATGAATGAATGAATTAATAGAGAGCTTATGGACAAGTAACAGTGAAGCAACCAAAAAGCAAACTGTATGATCTCATGATAAAATGAAGGTTTTCTTTTGGCCTGAGAACTGAGGTTAAAAACTAACCACAAAAAAATCAATGAGCAACAAATCCAAAAACTCAAGCAGTTCAGTGACCACAGCAAAACATCAGGACTCAAAAATGTTATAAACAAAAGCAAACCTAAAATGCAATACATAGTCACAATGATGAACAACAAAACTCACAGCACTGTGACACAACAATCAAGCATTCACAATTGTAAATGTCTAAAAATGTAAGTTTACACTGCTTTCTTTTTCTAATTCTGGCACTAGTATCTTTGGCATTGTATAAAATGTTCCCTCTTTTTGAAAATATCTTCATCTGTCACTCTAAAATCTGCCTACAAGTTCTGACTGGCTTGGACAAATGGTTTGTGCAAAACATGGGGTGAACTAAACATTTACCCGCATTCCTGTAGATACTAACAATGATCAGCATCCACATGGGCAGCTAAGTCTCTCATATGCACAGGTGGAGGGACAAGCCATGATGACAAGCCAGTTCTATAAAGAAATTTATAGAGTGTGTCTGATACAAGCAGAGAAATCAGCAGTTTTGCATGGGACTCCTGTAAATCCATTGCTCCTTTGGCCAAGTTTTCACTGCCATTCAAACTCTTTAATTTCAGCTGACTATGAAAATCTCCACTTACTTTTGGGCTGAATCCTTTTCTATACTTACCTTAACTGCTGCCTCACTTCTACATTTTGCATGTTCACACCAATCTCAAGCCATTTGTGTTGCAGGGAGGGTTTGTGGGTGTAAAGCTAGCTGGCTTTTGAAAGGTAGATTTTAAAGGGCACATTTTCAAGCAATATTTCAGGACTCATTTGATCCAAATCACATTTATTATTTCTAGCAAGAAATATTTTAAAGATTAGACAGCTAGTGATAACTTAAGGCTGCAACCTTACTGTGGTGGATGGGTTTGAGTGTCCCAACGGTCCTAGGAGCTAAGTTGTCTGAGGCCTCTGGTACAGCGAGCTAAGGCAAACAGATGTTAAGTGAGGGATCAGGCAAAGCACAGCCCAAAGACCTCTCATGAGGAGTAACATAAATGGAAGCAGTCTTCACTCCATACACTCCTTACAATTTCTAATCAAGGACTGTAAACAAATGATCATATTACAAGTTTCCTGATTAAACCAGACTAGAGTTTTTCTGGTATATTTATCTTTAAAATAAAAGAAGGAAAGACCAAAATGTGTTTGTAGGGAACAGCCAAGGAAGATTAAAATTACAATTACAAATTAAAATTGCAATTCATACCAGTCTATATCGGCTCATCTGCGCCAACCCAGACCACTCCACCTCCACTCAATGGAACCATGATATACAGGGTGAAAAGTAAAAAAAAAAAACTACATGTGTGTGTTTTTAATGACAGGCTCACTAAAGTGCCATATACACCAACATTGTTTCATTCCAATGAAAATGTATGCCAATATCAACAGTCTAATTGAAATACTGGCTTCATGTGAAAGCTACAGAAATGTAACATTGCCTAAATGCTAATTTATCATTTTGAAAGCAAAAATAAAGCTAAACTATTTTTTCTGGCTCTTCATGAATATGATCACTATACAATTTAATAAATGATTATACTCAGAGCATATCGTTTCATGCATAACCTTTTGTCTGTGACGCTCAGTACGTAGAATTCAACCTTATGCAAAGCAGAGTTGTTTAATCTCCCGCCTCATTTTCGTGTCTTTCCTGCATCATTTTTCCTCTTTCAGTTTGAAGGAAATTATTTTGTTTTGCAGGCAGCACTGAACCATTTTTCACTTTCAAATGAGCTCAGCATTTACATTGTTGAGAATAAATCCTTTGCAGTTCAGGGTATGATGAAAAATAGCTTCTTAGTCCCCACTTACTCTGTGGAGCTGAAGAACGAGGACGGGCAGAGTCACAGTGGCTCAGAACATCATCATCATTCAGCAGAACTGATTAAACAACTTCTCAGGCCCACAGTTGTAATTTGTCACGTAACAAGGACTTTTTTTATTGTGGTGGTTTCACTGAAGACACATCTCATTAGAAACTTGGTTAAACATTTAAAAGCATATTTGTACTAAGGATTAGGGCCTGTGGACAAAAATCACACTAGGTTAGATGATGGGGTGAGCCATTAGTTGGGTTTACGGCTGGTTGGGGAAAGCTCTAATTGTGTCATTCATTCTCTTTGGAGCTCGTGGAAAGTAAAGCAAAGTGACACAACACATCAGGTTCACTGAACATCAGAAGGGTGTAGCAGGGGTCCGGACTGTTAGTTCCAACTGAACCACAGGAGATGCTGTGCTGCAATAAATACAGCTGTCTTTCTTCGTGTTGCTTACAATTTATTAATGGTTGGTCTGTAACCATGGCAACATACACTAGAATTTATTTTTCCAAACGTTTCACGTAAGATTTCGGGACAGGAACTGACAATGTGGTAGTTTTAACTCCTTTCATTTGTCAATAATTTGACTATTACACATATTTTTCTCAAACGATTAACAGGAGAGATGCTCAGTTTCAGTTTTCGATAAAATACAAGTAAACAAACAAGTTGCTGCAAAAAAATACAAAAAAAAAGTCTGCTTTGGAAGAAGGCAGATTGCAAGGTGAAAGATGGCTTTGAACGCCTCCTGTTTGCTATCGGAAGGCTCGACTGAAGTGGTGTGAAAAGCAAAAACTTTCTTCAAACATCACAGCTGATAGGTAGAAAAGGGGCCTACTTAGATTTAAGCCTTGGTTTATTTCACAACGTTTCAACTGTGTCCCTGTCCTACCAGCACTTACGAATTTAAACTAAATGTAAAACTTACTGAAATGTGGTCAACAATCTCTCAATGTGATGCTTCTTCTTGCAGAAAATTACAGCCTGAAATCCTGAATGATCTAAAATTCCAACATGAATAACTTTGAGCTAAGATAAATGCCTACATTTGGATGTAGAGGTGCTAAAAGAAGTGTAAAGATAATCAGCTGAAATGTTATGGTTTCTATATGTGGTTCAAGAAAAAAACTCTTATTTTCACAATTTGTATGTTTCTGCATTGTTTTACACAGCAGATTTAACAGAATAAAAGGGCACTTTGCTTCCAATTTTGAAAAATATATTTTGAGCTATAACTGAAACTATGGAAGCTTGGATGTGCACCATTTACACTTTGATGCGACTTAACAGAAAACAAAAATGGATAAAATGTATTTTTGGTCATTTTGTATACATTCTATTATATACTGTACATCTACCAAAAGTTAAAGCAATGTATTTCCAATATATTGATGTCTACCTAGCACATGCTTTACCTAATGCAGCCAGGTCCAGAAACAGACACAAACTAACACAATCATGAACAGAAACATGTAGGAATACTCCACATGTCATGTTTTGACTCCCTGGTGTATGACTTACAAATATATTTTAAAATGATATCTTCTTGTAATATGATATCTTAACAAGAACTAAGATAACCGAGCACATCACTTTGATTCTTAAATCTCAACACTGGTTACCAGTAATAAATGATGACCCGCACTTGTATAGCGCCTCTCAGAGTAAGGACTCCAAAGCACTTTACACTACAGTGTAACATTCATCCATTCACACACTCATTCACAAACTGATGGTGATGAGCTACATTGTAGCTGCAGCTGCCCTGGGGCGCACTGACAGAGGCGTTACAAACTACAGAATCAATTTAAAAGTACTAGTTTCAAAATCACTCAATTGAATGGGGCCAGAATACATGTCAGATCCCCTTCCTGTAAATAATTTATGCCCAGCAGGTCTCTGAGATCCTTAGTGAACAGTCAGCTGGTAAAAACCCTCAGGTCAGAACCAAACTGTGTGAAGCAGCTTTTAGCTTCAATGCTGCACACAGATAGAATCAGCTTCCATATGACCTCAAATGTGTCTCAACTCTAGTAACTTTTAAATCAAAATAGGAAACGTTCATGTATTCATCAGCCTTTGAATGATTGTCTCTTATACTGCACCTTCTGCACTGTAACTACTCACCCTTTAACATTTTATTATTATTATTATTAATGTGTGTGATTTAATTTTGCAGTCATATTGATTGTAATGTCTGTGCTATTCTTGCTAATGGAAAGCACATTGAATTCCCCCTGTGTATGAAAGGTGCTATATAAATAAAGCTGCCTTGCATTCTATCACGTCGCAATGAAGTTTGTAAAAGGACCTGTTTTAGGGAAAAAAATAAGGGGAAAATGGAAGGAAATATGTCATTAGTAAACAAAGTTTCTAGGAACGCAACATGTGGTTTATATTTCAAGTATAAAAAGGCAGTCACCTGATTTTTTTTCAGTACTTTGTGGTGTAATTTTTTCTGTTTCTGAGAAACACACACACACACACACACACGCACACACACTAAAGAAACTCATCCAGAGTCACAAAATGAAAAAAGGGGGAGGGCGGGAGATCCTAATGAGAAAATTGTAACATATTTGTTTTTGTCAAATGGCTGGAAGAAGAATTATGTGGGTGTTAACGAGAAGCAATTAGTTTTGATTAAAAATTAGATCAGTCCCTTATTTGCAATGTAGTTTTATCAAAACAAAATAGTGATTAATTTCTGTTGGTTTTATACATTATTGTCTACAGTAAAATTACAGTTGCAGCATCTGCTCGGAGGGCCAAAACCGCTCGTTTAAAGAGACGGATCCACAAAAATGTAAAAACTTCATGTTTGGCTTGTAGACTGTGGGGAGACATTGCATAGAAATGCTGAAGATTATGTCACAAATACATGTTTTGTACTAAATCCACACACATATGGATGTGTCGGCGTTATAGACTCATGCTTTTTTTGGATTTTTGCTCCCTTCCTGCAGCATCCATCGTAATTGGGAAGTGGTGGTGTGAGATGGAACCATGTCTGGAGGGAGAGGAGTGTAAGACTCTGCCCGACAATTCTGGATGGATGTGCTCCTCTGGGAACAAGATAAAGACAACAAGGGTGAGAGCACACACACTTTAACAAGAACAAGTCTTTCTTCACTCACAAATGTACTCATACTCTGATGACAAAAAAAAAAAAAAACATCTGTAAACTCATGTACCACAGCACACCGACCTTCCAAAATAAAATAATTCTCTGCAATCGAACATGTTCATTGGGTTTGAAACAAGAACACTGATGAAGATTATTTGCATACTTAACTGAAATATTTTGCTCAGTTTGTCACTTTCCAACTACTGTTCACAGATCAATCAGTAAGGCAGGCACATGCCATCTGAATAACAAGATGGATTCTGTTCTGTGTTAAATATCCTGTCCCAGGGAAAAGTAAACAAACGGAAAAAAACTAGGTGGTAGGCAAACAGGTGGTCTATGCCTCAGGCCACAGTCATCTCAGAGATAAAGTTAACAACCAGGCTGCATGTCTGCTGCCTTTCAGCTGTCTAAAATTAGTCCAATTGCAAACCGCAAAGACAGTCACGGGATTTAAGTCCACGAAGTTGGCCGTCCAACACTCTGTGATCGGTTGATCACCTGATTTGCATTCACTGAAATGGACCCCTCCTTCCTCTTCTTCTTGTGCCGCTGAGAGTGACTTTGAATACAAGCAAAGACTAATGGGATGGTGGGGGGGCAAGGAGCAGTCTGTGAAGGTTAGACTGCATGGGGTGTCCCAAGGTTGTCCTGTAGATATATAAGCCAGCGTATAGACACAGAGTGTGAAATGGGGTCCCTCACAGCCAACAACTGATTTGGAAATGCAGAAAGAAGTTGATTGAACAGGGTTTTGCCGACCTGTGAAGGTAAGACACAGCACACAGTTCACGCTAAAGAATGCATCTCTAATTTTAAGCTCAATCCTTTGCAGCATTTCAAAATATGTCTTGATTACTTTAGCACAAAAATAACTGAATTGCTGTATGGTTGATCATGTTTTGTTGTAGCAATGCTTCTTGGCAATAGATCTTACACAGTTGGAAAGCTTGTTTTTATGCCACAGTAAGGTTCCAAAGTAAACTAGAATAGAATAGAATAGAATAGAATAGAATAGACATTATTAATTCCACAGTGGGGAAATAGCATTGCAACAACACATACAGTTAGAGAAAAGGAAGAAGAAAAATGCATTAACAAAAGTACCGGTAAACACACAAGGCAGTAAGCTATTATTGTAACCCTCAACCAATTTAAAACAACGAACTAAAGGAAACTTGGGTTTCCATAACTATGCAGCATAAGGGACACAGGAATACTAATGTTTATTTGTTTATACTAACCCTAACCCTTGCACAAGTATTGATCACATACTGAATATTGCAACTTGAGCATTGTTATGAGGTACACACAGGAGAAACTCACTAAATCAGCTCTAGATTCTCCAGAAGCCATATTCTTCCAGCTGGATTCAAGGGTGAAAGTTTAAAGAACGTGCATAGAACCCTATGCTGATTCCAGCATCAATATGGTAACTTCCTCTTGTGGAGGCAAAATCAGCAGAGATGTGATTCAGCAAGCATTGGCCATCCTGTAGCCCATGAGAACACTCCACCCTTCAGTTTGGGATTTTACAAGACTATATATGATAATAAGTAAATAAATACATATACGTACTTGTGGGATCAGTTGGGGTGTGCTGTTTGTGCCAGCAACCAACTCAACCACATTGGCTGGCTTGCATCAGATATTGATTGAAAAACAAATTACACTGCAGTGTGTGTGACCAAACCGGGGACCATCATGAAGAAAAGGTGCCAGGTTGTGGATTTGTATGGCTCTTTTCTATGATTCCATAAGCATCTAACACACAAATGTGGAAAAATGAACCATTTCCCCAGTGGAATAAGCTATACTGCCAAAAATCATATCAAACACAATTTTGGCAACACTTTAAGGGTTCCTTTATTACTGTTAGTGCATTATAACAACTGTTCATAATTATTACTATTGAGTAATGTATTACTAAGCAGGTCACCCCATACCCCTTCCATACCTTTTCCCTAACCTGAAGGACACAATATTTTACATCAGGGATGTTAAAAAAGGGATCCTTTGTTTATTAATGTTTAGTAATGCACTAAATAACGTTAATAAATTGCTCCTTATTATAAAGTGTTACCACAATTGTTTTATTTTTGTGCTAAGTTCACCATCAGTTGAATTCACATTTTCATTCTATTTTAGATTGGAAATTTCTGCACAGAAAAGGAGAAATGAAACACAGTAAAGTGGCTTTGGTGCAAAATCTGAGGGGAAGAGGGCCAAACAGTCATGCCTGAGGCTGCTATTCAACCCAATACACACGTGTCCTTTTTTTTCTTGACCCTCTCTTTGCAGAACACCCAGCCATACTCCCCTTTTTAGCTTCCGGAAGCAAAATGCAGAAGATGTGTCAACAGAAATTGAGCTGCATTCTTGCTTCTGTAAAGGTTAGTCTTTTTCTTAAGCTCTTCTTTATTTTTCTTTTTTTTACCCGTCTTTCTCACACACATTGCTGTATGAATGTCAGGTGGTAGGAGTGGGACCGACTTATGTTCAACGACTCGCTATTAACCTAAATACTCACTGAGAAATAATCAAGTGTGTGTTTACATGCTGTGCATGATTAGGCAGGCGTGACACATATACTGATCACACCGCCATTCACAGTAAATATTTATTATCCAGCACAGTCAGCGCATGCATAAATAATTGGTGCGTTTCTGCAATTTTTGCAGATGCGGTAGCTTATATATCAGAAGATGTTTAGCATCCTGATGGGTTGGTGTGCGCATATCATAGCAGCACCCATCGGAATACAGTCAGACCTCGTTGCAGAACCTCTCTGAGTGGGATCAGTGTGTAACAGCGACATTGTCCTTTCATGTCCTCCTTTGTTCCATGTCCTGTTTTTTGCTATCAGCTTCTCTGTAGTTCTGATTACAGCGCCTTGCACTGGACTACCAATCCCATTAGGGACTAATCTGTGACACACTCGCTCCTCTTTCTGTGTGTGTGTGTGTGTGTGTGTGTGTGTGTGTGTGTGTGTGTGTGTGTGTGTGTGTGTGTGTGTGTGTGTGTGTGTGTGTGTGTTTACAAGTGTAAACGTGCATGTGTTTCATGTGTTTGCACAGTGCCTGCGTTTGCGTGAGAACAAGTGAGGTTTGAGGGCAGGCCCCTTCCCGCTCCGCTGTGTTGCATCTTATCAGAGGCCACTTGATATCCTTATTCCCCTCTGAGGGTCTTGTTGGAGCAGCATTCAGCACACAGCATAGCCCACAGCCTACATGAAAGGCCTTTTTTATCCTGCACTCTGCTCTCTTTTTAATCAACATTCTTCATTCACCTGCCTCTCAGATCAAATTGCTGCATTTGTATGTGTTACTTCCAGAAGCCTGGAGAAACCACTGCATTGCACTTTTTTCATTTTTTCTTCTGCTTTAATGTTTCATTATTTGCAGCCATGTTCTTTTTTCACTTGCTGGTTTGTATTTTTGCTCTGAAAAACTGTTGGTGACACACAATAAGGGAAGCATAGCCACATATACACATACATAATTTGCATTTCTCATTAAAATTGGCATGAAAAACAAGAAGCCGAGCAACTCCAATAGATGACACCCGTGTTTCTCCTTTTTTCTTATGTCTTTCAGAGAGGGAACCCTTCAATGCCTGTTCTGTATCAGCAGACAAGGCAGGCCCTTTTGTTTGTGGAAGTCACAGTGAGCGCAGTGAGCTCGGGAGCCCCTTCCAAAAACATTCGCCCACCATAGATCTGCATTACCCGCTCCACTGGCTAAAATAAATCAATCTATTTTTGCCACAAACATTTATACATCCTAAAGAAGACAAGCGAAATGAAAACAGCTTGTTATTCTCCCACTTTTTGACTTAGTGACAGAAATATGTTCTTGTGCAAGACTGAATATTTATATTTTGGAACCATTTGGCACAAGAGGCAACCAGAAATTCACCTACAGCACACAAGCTGTTTGAGCTGAATAAAGAAACGCCACCCCTGAAAACTGTTCAGATTAGCAAGCACAAAGTATCAAACTTGAGTGGATCAGTCTTACCTCACCATTGCCTCTTTTATTCCCAGTGATTTCCTTGTTGTATGGAAATCCACGTTTTGTTTTGTTTTTTTAAAAAAGCTGCAGAGGGCACTTTTTTAAAGCTAAGTAACACACAGTCTGCGAGCAAAACTAACTTGCCTGCAGAAGCAACTCCATCAGATAATGAGACATTATTCTGAAGGTGATCAACTACAAATAACCATTTCATGCACATTCATCCGGGAATGACCTGTTCGACTGCTGCTTGAATACGGTCCTGTGGAAACGTCTCTGCGCCTTCATATTATTTTCTGTTTTGTCACAGATGAATGTTTCATGAAACACATTCCAATATTAGACAAAGATAACCTCTGGAAATGCAGAGAAATGTTTCCAAATGATGATCTCATTCATCAAGGGAAGAACGACTATTCAAACCAACTGGCCCTAAACGACAAAGCTATTGCCCCTAAACATAATGTGGGCCTACTCTCATAACTTCTATGAGTTTGCTGTGGTCTCTAGTAAGTGAGTAATGTGGTCTCTGAATGCCTTGTGAGTCATTGTCTTTAGGTCTTTAGAAAAAAAGCACTGGCACTCCTGTTTTAGGAAGTAAAATTTAGAGGAGTGAGGGATGGAAAACAGCTTTGGATTTGGAGTCTTATTAATATTCATGATGTCCGAACAGCTCACCTCTGATTCGCAAACAGCAACGTGGCTCTTCTGCTTCCTCCATTCACTCTTCTTCCATGGGGAAAACATACAATGTTGATGTCTTAGCTCCTCAAATAACTCAAGTGTGAACATGTTCTGCCAAGTTGGGGAGTTGCTAATGCTAATGGTTAGCTTCTCTCAGATGCAGAAGTGCTCTGCTCTTTCTTGGATGCTAAATTCCCTTGTCTGGTTCTACTCAAACCTTACTGGCAGAACCGAATACTTTGCTCTGGGCCAAACAAGATCACACATATGTGGTGTCCCTCAAGGCTCTCTTCTGGACCCCAATTTATTCTCACATCATTAGCAGACATGGCATATCCGTCCACTGTTATGCTGATGATACTCAGCTCTACCTCAAGACACCAACCAGCTTCTCTGCTCCTGTGTGCACAAGAAATACCTGTCTGGAGGACATAGAGGCGTGGATGAAGCTCAACTTTCTTCAGTTAAACAGCTCTAAGACAGAAGCAATTCTAGTTGGCACACTTCATAAACTCCACTTTTCCACCATAACCAGCATCACTTTCTCTGGCCAAAACATACCCCTTTCCACAACTGTCACCAACGTGGGTGTCAAAATGGATTCACAACTCACCTTTGATATCCACATCAGACGCTTGTGTAAGACATCCTTTTATCATCATTGGAACATTGGCAAACTATGAACAGTGCTAAGCCTGGCAGATGCAGAGAAGCTTGTCAACGCCTTTATCTCTTCCAGAATGGACTACTGTAATGCAATCCTATTTGGGATCCCTGAAAAAAGCATTCAGAGACTACAAAACATCCAGAACAGAACTGCTAGGATCCTAATGAGGGTGCACAAGTATGAGCATATCACCCTCATTCTGAAAGCTCTTCATTGGCTCCTAGTTTCATTCAGAATTTAATTCAACGTTTCTCTGCTCTCTTATCCGTGCATTCATGGTCATACTCCCTTCTATTTCAAAGGACCTCCTCACATTCCCAACAAATCAAATTCTTTGATCTGCAACAACAAATACACTCTAAATCCTCAGAAGTAAGCTTCGCAGCATGGGTGATCCAGCCTTTTCAACTGCTGGTCCGAGGATATGGAATACCCTACCCATTAATCAATTTCCCTCTGGGATTAATACAGTATTTTTGAATTGAATTGAATCCATCTGAAAGCCCCATAAACTGTAGATGCTATTAAATGGAATCTTAAGACGTATCTTTTTAGGAAAGCCTTTTGCTAAGTACATTATATATACTTTGTAGCTCTTTGAGATTGCTAAAATACAAAGTACGTAACACGTACAATTTTGTTTTATTATTATTATTTTTATTATTATTATTATTATTGTTGTTGTTGTTGTTGTTGTTATTATTATTATATTAATGATAATACTTTTAAAGAAAAATACTGCACTATTACAACACTACTGACCTGCGCATTTGCAGACTATATTCACTTTCTGACTGCATCTCAAAGTGACAATAGGATTTCATAAGAACAAGTATTGTACGTTTCTCAGTGAATATCCTCTTTAATACCTCATTTTAACCCTGTTTGCAGCAACATCTACACTCAAGAATTTGTGATAACTGGTGAAGGAAATGTATTCTGTTGCTTTTAGAGTAATAGTTTTAAAACAGCCTGTCCAAGTTCAAGGCATGACATTCTACAGGACTCTTTGATGAGAGCAGTATTCATAAATTCAAGTCATCTAGAATCTGAAGGAGCCCCAGGCCATCACACTACCATCACCAAGTTTGACTGCATTGTACGATGTTTTGTGTTTTTTTTTTTGTCCTCTTTTATTCTGAAATCCAGTTTTAATTTAACACAATGCTGACACATTAATTCCACAAATGCCTGGAAGACTGAGATGTTTAAAGGTGTGGTTTACTCATTAATTCAATAGATCACTCATAAAAAAAAACTAAAACGCTATGATGCTCCTTTTCTAAGATGCTGAAGTTTGCTCGTACAGAGGTGAGCTGAAAACAGCAGAATTGCACATTATTATTATTATTATTATTATTATTATTATTATTATTATTGTTATTATTATTATTATTATTATTATCTATATGAACACACCTCATTTCTGATTCGCTAACAAAACACGTTCAGCCATTTTGCAAAATATCCGCTCTCATTCCTTGGTGCAAAAAAAAAAAAAAGAAAGAAAGAAAGCCTTCCTGTGGGTGAGCACGAGCCAAGATGGGCAAGGCCATGGATGCAAATTCACAGTGTGGCATAAATATGTGAGGATTTTCAAATCCTGGCATTGTCTATTTTGTCAGAAGCTAATGCAGGAGATAGGTGTATAACTCTGTTTTCATGTTCAGCCTGTATGGAAAAACTCAATGACGAATTAAATTAAGAAAATAAAATGTTTTTTAGTCAACTACACCTTTATGGTAAATTTGAGAAAAGATGGGTTCTGTTTGGTCAGCAGATTTTCCAATGGTCTTGCAGTAATGTGGTTAAACACAGTTAATTCCTATTTTCAGTCAATTAACATTTCACGTTGAGCCAGGTTGGTTTGGATAGTAATATAATTTCCATTAGAAAACAGCATTTTGTATTCACTCAGGTTATCTTTCTCTATTTTTATTTATTTATTTTTTTGTTTGCTGATCTGAAAATATAAATGTGTCAAAAACCAAAACAGAAAAGTATCTGTAATGACACAAATACACTTTACTACACTAAATATTTCTCCTTCTCCTTCAAGCATTTGTGGCATTATGAGAAAGACTAGTAAATAAAATATTTTGAAAACATTGTTTTATTTTTTAACAATGTGGGACTAAAAGGACAAAATCAGTATTGAATCCTGTGCTTTATTTGTATAATTTTAGGTTATTTATACAAGTTTGAGAGAATGAGTTCACTCCAAGTGCTACTGATTAATTTATATTTATTTTTCATCTGTCAATGTCACATTAAATAAATCTTTATGTGTTTTGCTGTCTGGAGTCCTTTGTTTTCAGAGTTCTCTTTAAGATTGCTGTTTCCAGCTGGCATAACCTATTTGTTGAGCGATAAACAAGAAAATAGCAAAGCCAGGGTCTTTTTGCACTAAATTATTTTATTGCAACAATCGTCCTTGGACCCTGCTAACTGTAGCTGGGGTAAATTGCAGTTTAATGTAGTCAACAAATTAGAATGCAGATGGCTAATTTGCTAGCAAGAATAAACTGACAGGCAGGAAATCCTTGAGCAATCTACTGCTACCTGCGCCACTGTTCATTTGAAAAGGACACAAAAGAACCAGCGGCCACATTTTGTCACTCTTACACCTCTATGTAGGCTGATATTTCCATACCACCTCTGTCTTCCTGCTAACAAAGCCCTAGGGGATTGTGTGTGTGTGTGATACAGAGTGATCCTCCATGTGTAACCTGCCACTGCTCCCGGTCTGGCAGAGGTAATTTTGATATCTTGGCAGACGGTACAGATGATACAGATGCAAATTCTGGACAGAAGAGCCAAGAGGATTACTGTGCTAAAGAAAACAGAAACTGTTTGCAACCAAAACACACTGGTAAAAATTATCAAGTAAAAACGTTAGTTCTATGCAGCTTTTTCCAGCAGCTAGGTGTGAAACCCTTAGTGATTTAGTACTTTAAGATACGTCTGCAGAAAAGTCATATGACGGCTGACTTGTTAGGACCTGAATAATGCTACGCTACCCAGAATTAACTGGGGTTTGGAAAATAAGAAAATAAAAGGGAAGAGGAAGACAACTAGTGGATTAAAGTTTAACCATCCCACTGTCCTAATGGGTGTGACCCCGCAAGGAAAGTTGACCATTGAGCAGGGTCGATGGTTCATCCCTTGGGTCCGTGTGGCAGGGGTGAGGAGTGAGCACCACCTCACTCCTGCCACGTGGACCTCAAGGGATAAACCATCAATCCTGCTCAATGGTCAACTTTCCTGGCAGGGTCACCCATAAAGTCAGTGGGAGGGTTAAAAGTTTTATTCCCATCAAAAAAAGCTTTAACGCTCGCATGGAGTCTGCCTCTATCCTGGCAGCTACATGAGTAGTGGGGCAGCTGACATTTTATAGGCAGGTCTTAGGCCGGGACTACTTGTCGTCGTCACGACAACAGGGCAAGCAGACATGGAGGCAGCCATCTTGTCACTGGCAGGTCACATCTCAACAGCAGTGCCATGTGGAAATTGAAAAAAACAAAAAAAAAAAAAAAAAACAAGGGGGCAAAACTACACACACACACACACACACACACACACACACACAACTGACAAAAATGTTGATCCAGTGTGCCCAAACATCACTGGTTAAATGTTTCCTGAAAAAGAACTTTTTTCTCTCTAAGCTTTAAAAACAGCAATTTCACTCTACTGATAATAAAATTCACTCCATCCATCTTGTAAGAGACCATGCAATTTATCAAGCATGTACTATAAGGCAGAAATAAATCCAATCCATAACACTGATACCCTGTTTACATGTCAATTTTACTGGCAATATGTATGCCAGTGTGCACTTCAGTAGCTTACTTTTACATCCACATTCGTTCATACAGAGATGTTCATTTATGAAAACCGCATCGGGAATAACTAATGTTACAGTTGGGTTAGGGGGTGGTTTGGTTACTCTGCTTTATTGGTTTCCACTTGATCAGTCTGTTGACCCAATAAGTTTAGCAGGAAGCCAAAGGGAATAAGTGGGCCATTGAATGTCATATGCAGTTCTCTATACCCAATATCCATTATTAGTATTTATTATAGTGGCTGTGTTTTATCATATGCTGGGCTGAAGGGGCTTGAGTATTCCATGGTTTATGTTTTTACAGATTGAGTTTGTAAATGAAGTGATTCAGAGAGAAAACACTAACGTCTGGCTGGTGTGGGTAGGGGGTCTGGTGGGATAGTTAGGGTTAGGGCTGGAATAGAAGTAAAGGGTGCCATTAAGGTTAGAATTGGTGTGATGGTGTTGAATGGCTGGGGTTCTAGGTTAATACATTTTGGTTATAGTTAGTGTAGGAGGAGGGACTGGGATTTGAGGTTTCAATGCGTGGTTTAGGGATGTGTTTAGGTTTAGGGTAAGTATATGGGTTGGGTTTTGTAGGCATGTAGTGATACTTTAGGGTTGTGGTTAATGGTTTTGGTTAGGTTTCAGGGCCAGACAAAGAAGTTATGGTTAGGGGCCAGGGCAAAATGTGGGTTGTGGATTTAAGCAGGGTGTTTTTAGGGTTAGAGTTCAGGGTTCTTCAAAATAATAAAAAAAGAACAATTAAGCAAGTAGAGCTAAAAATGTACCCGTAAACCTCTGTGGTTCTCGAGACATTTAAGCATTGCTTGAAGGAATGCCTGTAACCATTGACTTTTAATGCCAGAGTTATAAACTAAGATAATCCTGTGGAGAAATATTGGAATTATAGCAGTTTTAGTCAAATACTGAAAACAGTGTAATGCACAATGTCTTCAAATACTAACCTGAAATGCCTAGCAATATTTTAAGCAACTACCTCCATAAAAATTAGATGTAGCATCTTCAGCAACTTCTCTTTATTCAAAAGTGAGGACAAAACATTCTGTTTCCAGGTATTGTTATGTTGTATATTTAGAACCAGAAGTCTTGAGATGTAGGAAACATCTGAATCAACCTGGAAATGTGTCAGGTGTGTTTTTATTTTCAAATCAGGAAAAAAAAGTTATTTATTTACATGAGGATTTCAGGATCTACATCTTTGACTTGTTCTATAGACAAAATGTTTTATCAATTAGCAACATGATTACATTGCATTAGTTATTTCAATTTTACAAAATAAAAGTGATAACTCAGTCTGCACTCTTTTGGTTCACAGTTTCTCATGCAAATTGTAAAAAACCCATAAATAAAATGCACAACATTCTATGTAAAGCAAATATACTTCATAAAATCTGCTGCACCGTGCAGCATCCTCTGTAATCAAATCCACACACCTGGCAACCACCTGCCAAACCCACTGGAAATGTCATGACTACATTTCTTTGTTGAAAAGGATTATGGGAATTCTAATTAGTTTCACAGTTTGCCGTGAAGTTAGTTTCACTGCGTTTTCCTGAAACAGTAAAATAACTGGAGAATATGCTCAAATTTTCATGATGTTTAGTTGCATGAGTTGGGGAAGCAATAAATACAGTGTCTTCCATTATGCAGACAGTTTGCACGTAGTTTTCAATCAAGTGTCGTATTGAATAAGACGTTGAAAAACAGAACATTCAATCTGTCTCAAGGCTTCACAGAGCACCACTGAAATGAGTCCAGATCCGCAAGTGAAGCTGAATTAAGAGTCCCTGAACCAGAGTCACAAGGAGCCGGCTCAGACTTGACAGCGAGGGCCCTGATTTAACAAGGCTGTAATGTTAACCCTGCAAGGCCAAACTTATTTCATCAGCTTAGAGGATTTTCCATAATTGCGGTTGTCTGTCTTTGCTTGAGGGTTTAAACAAAGGAGGTAGTCAGTACACTGAAGATGTTTTTAAACTGCAAGAGTGGAAATATATGAAGCCTATATACACAGCATAGAAACACACCAAGGATTTGTCTAAATGTGTTTATAACAATTTTAGCACAGCCTCCATTCATCTATGTTGTTTGGTTTTAGTAGAAACATCAATTCAAAACAGGATTATCAAACTTCTGGAGTTCAAATGAGTCCCCTCCTTTCTGAAATTCGAGGAAAAAGCAGTGGCTATTTCTTGCACACATTAACGCTTTTGTTGCCTCTAAGCCAGTGTGGGTTTTTTGTCCTCTGTGTTGCAGATTCATCCCAGGACCTAACAGAGAGCTCCCATTGCAGGGCAGAATGCCAGACCCTTCCTCCCTCCCTTCGAGCACCTGTTCTTATTCCATTGAATGGTCTAAAACTATTACATCTACGACTACGGACTGGCTTACCTGGGACCACAGAAAGGATATCCACCCAGATAAAACAGCTTTGCTCGTGTGGTGCCATGGATTTGAAACCACATTAATCCCCTGTTTGATCAACGAGCCTGTGCTGGTGACTCTCCTCTTTGGCGTGGCTATGGACGGTTTCCAACCTACTCAATCCTCATTCTGTCCTTTTTCTGAAAACCAGAGAGCCAAGTAAGGGTTGTTTACAGCTTGTTAAAGACAATCTCCTGGACTGCCTCAAGCTGGACTGGTAACTGGGCTGACATGGAGCTAAACATGGAATCCATAGTGCTAAAACCAAGGTACAAAAAAGGATTTGCTGCTGGGAAAATATGGCGTTGCCCTGATTTCAAAGAGGACATTTTGCTTATAAAATGGAGACTTAAAAAAACTGTGACCTCTAGCAGCTCATAACGAGACAAACTGGACGTCTTGTGGTCCACCTTTATGGTCTGACCTTCTTCCTTCGCAGGGGACATTTTGACTTTTATTGCTGGGCATGCCCCATGTAGATTTGTGAGCACTCATTTTATTTTTATTTTTAAGTTCGATCATTTGTGTATATACATACATATATAAAACATACACTGCAAGATGACGGATCCAGGAAGGCTGATAAATATATTTACCACTTTAACAGGAGCTCTCACGGTGGAATAATGATCTACTTTTGAACATAATCCAGGACAACTTCACAGCTGATGCTCACAATGGGTATAATAAGGTTGTTGCTGAACAATGAAAAAACAGGTTCTGGTTGTCATTTAACCACGTCTTTGGCTGTGATGCTTGCAGTTTCTGTATAAAAACAAATATATAGAACTGCTTCACGTAGAAAAAGCAACGGTGACAAATATTCTTGACCTTTTCACCCAAAGACAGCAGGGATTTTCAGCAGCTGCAGAGCAGATATGAGGATGATCATAACAAGTGTTCAAGGGTACCAGCTCATGTCGTGTATATCTCCCTCTCACACACCAGAGAGAGATGTTACTTCAAATGACATCAAGAAAGTTTTAGTCACAATGGAGAAAAATAGCTATCCCCCCAGTAGATATAAGTTCCTTACAAGGCAGCCTTATGAGAAATAAAAATGATTTTCTATACTGATATGCTGTCTGTCTTTTCTCCATATGTTTGAAAAATGTTCCCTTCATGATGCACTGATGTGTTGTAATATGTGGTTGGAGGATCTTGTCACAGCTGCATTTATTTTGTGTGTTAACACTACACGTGTGTGTGTGTGTGTGTATGTGTATATATATATATATATATATATATATATATATATATATATATATATATATATATATATATATATATAGGCTTGATTAAATAAGCAATCAACAAACAGCTCAAGAAGAGTACGAAAACAACTTCCGGGCACACGAACACTCACACATGCAGAAAACCTCAAACAAATCTGTGATGCTTCATTTATACAATTCCCTCAGAGGCAGCGTGGATTTATCAAAACAGAACATTCAATTCATTCGTGCAATTAGAATGAAGATTTTCAATATCGGAGCAGGCGAAATTCCACATGATTTTCAATATCAGCCTCCTCTCTCTGCTGATATTAGATTTGCCTCTTGTCCCGGTGGACGCAGTAGCGTGCATTCATCATTTAGGAATACGGCTAGTTTCATGGCGCATGCTGCCTCACTGAGCAGTCACAGAAGGTATGAGAAAGACAGACGCATCAATCTCCCAGCGGCCTTGCCAGAATTATGGAGGGATGTGCAAAAGAAGAGAAAGAGCTGTTTCTTTTTCTTCCTCAATGGGTCGTTTCCTTCTTTGTTTTTCTTTTATGATATGATTCCCTGTCCCGTTTTTTTTCCTCATTTTTTGTAAGTTGAGCTAAAAAATGAGTCTGTTAAATAGTTTCTGGGTAGGTTTGTCACTGTCTGAGGGTTTCTTCCTCTTGTAATTGAGTATTTCTGTTCATTTCTTAGTTAATCTATGCGTCCATGTGTATTTTGGGAGATTCTATCCTGAGTTCGGTTAGCAGATGTCCCACTATGAAGCATATTTTCAAATTCTGCACTTGTATGGGAAAATCCTGATGTTTTTTCTCTCCTCCTCTCTACCTATGCAAATTCTGTGTAGATCTTTGCTTGAAAGGTGCTGGAGGATCAGAAGTGGGAAAAAGCGTTTTTTTTTTTCTAAATTCCCTTTCATGAATTTCTTATCTGTATCTAGAAATAGTAGAGTCACGCTGTGGAGGGAGGTCCTGCTCCAATTTTTTGACTGAGCAAAAAGATCAGAGCCTGAATAGATTTCATGAAAAAAACCAGAGCCTCCTTCCTCTCTTCGCACTACTACAATCTCAATACCAAGACATCCATTAAGTCCTGCCGACCTCCCACTGAAACAGGTAGACAGTTATGTCCTTATGTGGCTAATCTACGGCTGGTATCAAGGACAAGGTTTTTACCCGTGCACCCAAAACATGAACCCAAAACTGCAAAGTCTGTGAAAAAATGCCAAGTTTTTGCTTTGAATTGAAATGATTAGAGCTTGTAAAAAGGACCCTCCACCACTCTTTGACTGCACTTCCGTCTTTGTGCTTTGTGACATCCATATTCCTTAATCATTCAGAATAACAACCTATAATTTCTGAAAAGGGCATACTTCTTACCTGTGGGGGGTTTGTAGACTATTATTACAGTCATTATGGGGCATGAGTCACTGTGAATATCAGCTTCACAAAGAAACATCTACTGAAGCCGGACAACTGAGAGTGTTCCAAAATCATTAACGACACAAAGACTTGGCCATTCTGCGACTTCAGGCTTTATCTGTGAAAGGTAACAATACACCATCAGACAGGTTTATCATGGAACAGATTTAATCAGTTTAATCGCTGCACATGATAAAAAACAGAAAGAAAAACTAAGACAGCAACAAGGAAAGTCTTACAAGTTGTAATAACCCCTTAGAGACAATAAACAACTTTTCACCATATGGCCTACGGTTACATTTGTACACTCTGAGTTTGCAAACCCAAGAAATTTCCAAAGAGCTAAAAACACACTTCTGTAAAACACACCCAAGCCCTGCTGCACAGCTACCATCTGAAACAAATGAGCACATATTCCAACTGGTGCACTATACATCACTGTCGTGGTCCCACAACACCAACCAATACACTTGTCAGCCAAATGACTTGCCAGTTTATGATTGTCAGCAGCTGCCATAATGGTTATTTTTTTCTCTTCTGCTTTTTCAGATCTTTTCCTTATTTCTGCCTCCATTTCAACCCAAAACACACAACAGCCAAGTGATTTGAATCCCACCGGTGGTTCTGGTGTCGTCACCAGTACAGTTCTCTGTAGGGATTTCATAGTTTGGACTTTTTTTCCATTAAACGGGTCATGCCACTGGCCCTACTCAGTCACGCAATTGGCTAATCAAGGTTTTTCAGCTACCGCTACACAGATGGAAGAGAAACATTCATAGGATCAGTTTATTTTTGTTTATTAAAAAATAATCTGGTATAGTTGTATATAACTTACTATAATTATAGGAAACATTTTAACGATGACACAAATATTAATTGAAGGGATGTCCAACATTATTAGTTTACCATTCGTGTCAGCTGTTATCAGCATTAAAATATGGGAAAAAATCAGTATCAGTTGTCAGTCTTTTAATGACAACTTTTACATACCATATACATGCTATACATCAAACTCTTCAGCTGCAACTCCTCTCTCTCAACATGTCATAATATGACAGATCCAAGGTAAAGTGTTT